AGAAGCATTCCAAGAAACTGCTCTCTGACATGTGCATTTATTTCAGAGAGTTAAAGTTTACTTTACATTTTCCATTTTGCAAAGTCTGTCTTTCAGGATTCTGCGAAGGGATATTAAGTGGTGACTGGAGGCCTGTGGCAAGAAAGGAAATGTCTTCCTTTGAACACTGGATAGAAGCTTTCTGAGCAACTGCTTTGTGAAGTGTGTATTCATCTCATAGAGTTAAATGATTCTTTGGATTGAGCAGTTTGAAATCACTCTTTCTGTGGAACCTGAGAAAGGACATTTGGGAACACTCTTAAGAATATGCTGAAAAAGAAATACAATCCAATAAAAACCACAAGGAAGCTTTCTGTGAAGCTGCTCTGTGTCATGTGAAATCCACTAACACAGTTAAGCTTCTGTTTTTCTTTAGCAGTATTCTAACCTTGTTTTAGTTTAATCAGCTAAGGGATACTCGGGAGCGCTTTGAGGCTTACTGTGAAAAAGGAAATATCTTCATATAGAAACTGGAGAGAAGCTTTCCAAGAAGCTGCTTTGAGACGTGTGCATTGCACTCACAGAATTATACCTTTTTTGTCATAGAGGAGTTTGAAATCACTTTTGGAGAAAAAGCTACCAGAGGACATTCGGGAGTATATGGACGGCAATGGTGAAAAGGGAAATATCCTGAGACAAAAACTGGAAAAAAAGCTTTCTGTGAAGCTGCTTTGTGATAGATATGTTTATTCTTCTCACATAGATAAAACTTTCTTTCTGTTACACAGTTTTGAAACACCGCCATGGACAGATTCGTTTCGGGACATTCGGGAGTACATTCAGGCTTATGGTGAAATAAGAAATATCTTCAGATAAAAACTGCAGAGAAGTTTTCTGAGAAACTGCTTTGTGATGTGTGCATTCAACTCAGGGAGTTATACCTTCTTCTCATAAGGCACTGTTTGAACACTGTACCTGTAATACTAAAAAAAGTGATATTCAGAGAACTTTGAAGACTATGGTGAAAAGTGAAATGTCGTCCAACAAAACCCAGAAAGAAACATTCTAAGAAACTGCTCTCTGACATGTCCATTCATTTCACAGAGTTAAAGAATACTCTACATTTCCCAGTTAGGAAAGTCTGTCTTTGAGGATTCTGTGAAGGGATATTAAGAGGTGACTGGAGGCCTGTGGGAGCAAGGAAATGTCTTCCTTTGAAAAATGGAGAGAAGATTCTGAGCAACTCTTTTGTGATGTTTGTATTCATGTCATAGAGTTAAATCATTCTTTGGATTTAGCAGTTTGAAATCACTGTTTCTGTGGAATCTGAGAAAGAACATATCAGAATGGTCTTCAGAATATCCTGAAAAAGAAATAACCTCAGATAGAAACCAGAAGGAAGCTTTCTGTGAAACTGCTCTGTGTGGTGTGAATTCTGCTCGCACAGTTAAGCTTCTCTTTTCAATCAGCAACATTCTAACACTGGTTTTGATTAGTCTGCGAAGGGATATTTGGGAGTGCTTCAAGGCTTATGGTGAAAAAGGAAATATCTTACGATAGAAACTGGAGAGAAGCTTTCAGAGGAGCTGCATTTTGACGTGTGCATTCGACTCACAGAATTATATCTTTCTTCTCATAGAGGATTGGGGAATCCCTTTTGTAGAAAAAGCTACCAAGGTACATTCGGGAGTATATGGATGGCTATGGTTAAAAATGAAATATCCTAAGACAAAAACTGGAAAGATGAATTCTGTGAAACTGCTTTGTTTTAGGTATGTTTATTCATCTCACATCTAAAAAACTTTCCTTATATTGCGCAGTTTGGAAATTCCGTAAATGATGGATCCGTGAAGGGACATTTGGGAGTACATTCAGGCCTATGGTGGAAGAGGAGATACCTTCAGATAAAAACTGGAGAGAAGCTTTCTGAGAAAATGCATTGTGATGTGTGCATTCAACTCAGGGACTTATATCTCCTTTCTCATAAGGCAGTGTTTGAACACTGTTCCTGTAAAACCAAAAAAGTGATATTTTGTAGCGCATTGAATACTACAGCGAAAAGTGAAATATCTTCAAATAGAACCCATAAAGAAGCGTTCCAAGAAACTGCTCTCTGATATGTTGATTCATTTCGCAGAGTTAAAGCTCACACTACATTTCCCAGTTTGGAAACTCTGTCTTTGAGGAATCCGTGAAGGGATAGTAAGTGGCGCCCGGAGGCTTGTGGTGAGCAAGGAAACGTCTTCCGATGAAAACTAGAGAGAAGCTTTCAGAGCAACTGCTTTGTGATGTGTGAATACGTCTCATAGAGTTAAACCATTCTTTGGATTGAGCAGTTTGAAATCACTGTTTTTGTGGAATCTGAGGAAGGACATTTGGGAGTTCTCCTTAGAATATGGAGAAAGAAATATCCTCAGGTAAAATCCAGAAGGAAGTTTTCTGTGAAACTGCTCTGTGTCATCTTAATTCCTCTTGCTCAATTAAGCCTCTCTTTTCATTGAGCAGTTTTCTAACCCTGCTTATGTTTAGCGTGTGAAGGGATATTCGGGAGTGCTTTGAGGCTTACAGTGAAACAGGAAATAAGTTCAGACCGAAACTGGAGAGAAGTTTTCTGAGGAACTGCTTTGTGATGTGTGCATTCGACTCACAGTGTTATACTTCTCTTCTCATACAGCAACGGGGAAACACTTTTGGAGAAAAAAGTACCAAGGGATATTTGGGAGCATGTTGATGCCTCTGGTGAAAAGGGAAATAGCCTCAGACACAAACTGGAAAGAAGCTTTCTATGGAACTGCTCTGCGATATGTGTATTCATCTCACATAGATAAAGCTTTCTTTACGTTGTGCAGCTTGGAAACTCTGTCATGGACTTATCCAAGAAAGCACATTCGGGAGCACCTTCAAGACTATGGTGAAAAAGGAAATATCTTCAGATAAAAACTGGAAAGAAGTTTTCTCTGAATCTGTTTTTTGCTATATTTATTCATCTCCCTTAGGTAAAGCTTTCTCTACATTACGCAGTTTGGAAACTCTGTCATGGAAGAATCAATGAAGGGATATTCAGGATCACATTTGGACCTATGGTGGAAAAGGAAATATTGTCAGATAAATACTGGAGAGAAGATTTCTGTGAAACTGCTTTTGTGATAAATACGTTTATTCATCTCACATAGATAAAACTTTCTTTCTGTTATACAGTTTGGAAACGTTGTCATGGATGGATTCGTGAAGGGACACTCGAGAGCACATTCAGGCCTATGGTGGAAAAGGAGATATTTTCAGATAAAAACTGGATAGAGGCTTTCTGAGAAACTGCTTTGTGATGTATGCATTTCACTCAGGGAGTTACAGTTCTTTTCTCATAAGGCAGTGTTTGAACACTGTTCCTGTAAAACCGAAGAAGGGATATTTCGAAGTGCATTGAAGACTCTGGAAAAAGTGAAATATACTCAAATAAAAACACAGAAAGAAGCATTCCAACAAACTGCTCTCTGATATGTGCATTCAATTCACAGAGATAAAGCTTACTCTACATTGCCCAGTTTTGGAAACTCCATCTTTGAGAAATCTGCGAAGGGATAGTAAGTGGTGCCCCGAGGCCATTGGTGAGCAAGGAAACAACATCCGTTGAAAACTGGAGGGAAACTTTCTGTGCAACTGCTTTGTGATGTGTGTATTCATGTCATAGAGTGAAATCATACTTTGAATTGAGCAGTTTGATATCACTGTTTCTGTGGAATCTGAGGAAGCACATTTGGGAATGCTCTTTAAAATATGAAGAAAGAAAAATAATCAGATAAACAAAAGTGGGAAGCTTTCTGTGAAACTACTATGTGTTGTGTGAATTCCTTTTGCTCAGTTAAGCTTCTATTTTCTTTTTTTTTTTTTTTTCAAGTTTAGAATACCTGGTTTATTGGGAAAACTTCATAATGAAAACTACAATTGGCTTTTTCCACAACTTACAAAATAATAATCTGATATTTAAAATGAATTGGTTTTCATTATGTAAGTAGAAATGGTAAAAAAAAAAAAATAGCAACCCATTTGATGCATCATATATATATGCTACTCAGAGAAACTCAAATCCCCGAATTCTCCTGTGGCATGTTTTACATCAGACATTTTACATCTGTTTACCAAGAAAGACCAGGATTTTAACTATATGTAGGTTTCTGCTTACAGTTGCAAACTATCAGAAGCCTGTCTATATGATAGAGCCCAGATAAACCTGAGATTTAGAAAAGTGAGTCATTTATTCTCCTGAGGCTGTTTTAGTGGCACTTTTGTGACAGGAATGACCCTCCTGATGCTTTACTACACGACTTAACCAGATCTATCAGTCATGATAAATTAGACCCAGTCCATCTTTCAATCCAGTCTACTCTGGTTCTGAACATATAAACACAAAACACTACAGATTTATTAATATAGCATTTTCCCATATCCTAACCGTATAAAGAACTTTAAAGAGAAAATTTCGTCTAAATATTTCACACTTAAAGTAAAGCCTTGCTAACTATGGCAACAGGTTTGGACCACGAAACAGTACCTTCCTAGATGACATACCGAGTCAACATGAAGCCTTAGCAAAAATGAATGATTCAGGATATTAATGAGAAATTCTCACAAACGATATGTATTTAGGAAACGATTTTGCTTTCTTTAAATAGTCTGAAGGCTTAAAAATAAACTTTTTGTGTGTTTATTTTAGAATATTTGGTCATTAATAATTTGTAACATTATCTTCCTCTTATCCTTAGCCCTTAACAGACCCAGTGCATTCTATTTGGAAATAACAAGAACTTGATCAGATTATTAAGTCTTGGAAACCGCATTTTTACCTTATAAAGTGTTAAGTTTCATATTCATATTCTCTTCTAAATGTACTATAAATGCTACAGATAGATATAAGGAAATATTGGCATAGTATAGGTAATTAGTGAAAAGACACAACTTTCACAAAACATATTAAAAGATAAACATGAAACTATAACACTACTTAAAAAATATTTTCACCCAAGTTATTTTAGCATTTTTGACTAGTTTAATAATATGAACACTGCCAAAAAATGGGTTCAAAGTCGCCTGGGGAAACAGTTTCTTCTTCTGGAGTCCATCTCAGCAGCGGCGATTTTCTCCCATACTCATTCTCAAGTTAGGCAGATGTGTAGAAGTACCTGGGCTTGGCATTACCCAGAAGGTCATCTTCGTAGTTGGGGAGGCAGCAGAAGAAGAAGGCACAGCCAATCAGGATAATCGTGGCTGCCCACCCAAAGCCGTAGGCCCAGTTATAGATGTAAGTGACAGCAGGGTTGGCATGAAGGGTGAAGGTCTGGGTGTACTTCACGGGGTAAATTACCAGGGAGATGATCTGGAACACAGCAGCCAAGGCAAGGAGACCTCCAATCACTCTTAGGAAGACAAGCATCTGGGGTCCACAGAGGGCGAAGAAGGAGAGGATGAAACAGATCACCAGGATGATGAAGCTACAGAAGAGCATGGCAGCCGCTGCTCTACCCCATGCGTACTCCATGAGGCTCTGACAGCCCTCCTCGTAGGACCCGCTGCCGCCACCCTCTTGGGAACATTTCCACCACAGCGAGGACGTCTGGATGTGGTCGCTTGACTGCAACCGGCCGCGGCCGGCCAGCGCGATGATGTCGAAGGCGATGGCGCTGAGTAGGAGCAGGGGCAGGATCCAGCGGCAGCGCTCGCAGGCCAGGCTGCAGCGGATCATGTTGACGGAGGGCGCGGGGCCGAGCGGAGTCGAGCAAGCGGAGTGGAGCGGGCGGAGGAGCGCGCGGGACGGGCGGCAGCGGAGAGTCAAGCTTCTATTTTCATTGAACAATTTTCTAACACTGTTTATTTTTAGTGTGTGAAGGGATATTTGGGAGCGCTTTGAGGCGTGCAGAGAAAAAGGAAATATGTTCAGATAGAAACTGGTGAGAAGCTTTCCAAGGAACTGCTTTGTGATGTGTGCATTCCACTCACACTGTTATACCTCTCTTCCCATCTAGCATCAGGGAAACCCTTTTGGAGAAAAAGGTACCAAGAGATATTCAGGGGCATATTAACGCTTATGGTGAAAAGGGGAATAGCCTCAGACAGAAACGTGATAAAAGGTTTCTATGAAACTCCTCTGTGCTATGTGTATTCATCTCACATAGATAAAGCTTTCTTTACATTACGCAGCTTGGAAACTCTGTCACGGACAGATCCGCGAAGGGCATTTGGGAGCACATTCAGAACTCTGGTGAAAAGGGAAATATTTCAGATAAAAACCAAAAGGAAGCTTTCTGTGAAACTGTTATTTGTCGTGTGAATTCCTTTCACGCAGTTAAGCTTCTCTTTTCATTCAGCAGTTTTTTAACACTGTTTATGTTTAGCGTGCGAAGGGATATTCGGGAGCCCTTTGAGTCTTACGGTGAAAAAGGAAGTATGTTCAGGTAGAAACTGGAGAGAAGCTTTCTGAGAAACAGCTTTGTGATGTGTGCATTCCACTCAGGGAGTTACACCTCTTTTCTGATAAGGCATTGTTTGTACACTGTTACTGTAAAATGAAAAAGTGGTATTTTGAAGCACATTGAAGACAACGGCGAAAAGTGATATATCCTCAAATAAAACCCAGAAAGAAGCATTCGACGAAACTGTTCTCAGATATGTGCATTGAATTCACAGAGGTAAAGCTTACTCTACATTGCCCGTTTGGAAATTCTATCTTTGAGAAATCTGCGAAGGAATATTAAGTGGTGCCCGGAGGCCTGTGGGGAGCAAGGAAAAGTCCTCCGTTGAAAACTGGAGAGAATCCTTCTGAGCAACTGCTTTGTGATGTGTGTATTCATCTCATAGATTTAAATCATTCATTGGATTCAGCAGTTTGAAATCACTCTTTCTGTGAAACCTGAGAAAGGACATTTGGGTACGCTCTTAAGAATATGCTAAAAAGGAAATACCCTCTGATAAAAACCAGAAAGAAGCTTTCTGTGAAACTACTCTGTGTCATGTGAATTCCACTCACACAGTTAAGCTTCTGTTTTCATTGAGCAGTATTCTAACATTGTTTTAGTTTAGTCAGCTAAGGGATACTTGGGAGCGTTTTGAAGCTTATGGTGAAAGCAGAAATATCTTCAGATAGAAACTGGAGAGATTTCCGAGGAGTTGCTTTGTGATGTGTGCATTTACACAAAGAGTTACACTTTTCTTCTCATAGAGGATTGGGGAATCCCTTTTGGAGGAAAAGCTACCAGGGGATATTCAGAAGTATATGGACAGCTGTGGTGAAAAAGGAAATATCCTCAGACAAAAACTGGAAAGAAGCTTTCTGTGAAACTGTTTTGCAATAGATATGTTTATTCATCTCACATAGATAAAACTTTCTATTACGCAGTTCTGAAACTTTGTCATGGACAGATGCTCAAAGGGATATTCGGGAACACATTCAGGCATATGGTGAAATAGGAAATATCTTCAGATAGAGACTGGAGAGAAGCTGAGAACCTACTTTTTTATGTGTGCATTCCACTCAGGGAGTTATACCTCTTTTCTCATAAGGCAGTGTTTGAACACTGTTCCTATAAAACAAAAAAGTGATATTTCAGAGCGCATTGAAGACTATGTGGAAAAGTGAAATATCCTGAAATGAAACCCAGAGAGAAGCGTTCCAACAAACTGCTCTCTGGTATATGCATTCATTTCACAGAGTTCAAGCTTACTCCACATTGTCCAGTTGGGAAACTCTGTCTTTGAGGAATCTGTGAAGGGATATTAAGTGGAGCCAGGAGGCCTCTGGTGAGCAAGGAAACGTCCTCTGATGAAAAGTGGTGAGAAGTTTTCTGAGCAACTGCTTTGTGATGTGTGTATTCATGTCATAGAATTAAAACATTCTTTAGATTGAGCAGTTTGAAATCACTGTTTTTGTGGAATCTTGAGGAAGGATATTTGGGAATGCTCCTTAGAATATGGACAAAGAAATATCCTCAGGTACAATCCAGAAGGAAGCTTTCTGTTAAACTGCTCTGTGTCGTCTTAATTCCTCTCACTCAGTTAAGCCTCCCTTTTCCCTGAGCAGTTTTCTAACCCTGTTTATGTTTAGCGTGTTTAGGGATATTGGGGAGTGATTTGAGGCTTACGGTCAGAAAGGAAATACGTTCAGACCGAAACTGGAGAGAAGCTTTCCGAGGAACTGCTTTGTGACGTGTGCTTTCCACTCACTGTGTTATACCTCTCTACTCATACAGCATCGGTGAAATCCTTTTGGAGAAAAAGGTACCAAGTGATATTCGGGAGCATGTTGATGCCTATGGTGAAAAGGGAAATAGCCTCAGACAAAAACTGGAAAGAAGCTTTCTATGAAACTGTTCTGTGACATGTGTATTCATCCCACATAGATAAAGCTTTCTTTACATTTTGCAGCTTGGAAACTCTGTCAGGGACGGATCCATGAACGGACATTCGGGAGAACATTCAGTGCTATGGTGAAAAAGGAAATATTTTCAGATAAAAACTGGAAAGAAGCTTTGTCTGAATCTGGTTTTTGCTATGTTTATTCATATAACATAAATAAAGCTTTCTTTACGTTACACAGCTTGGAAACTCCGTCATGGATGGATCTGCGAAGGGAAATTTGGGATCACATTAGGGCCTATGGTAAAAAAGGAAACATCTTCAGATAAAAACTGTAGAGAAGCTTTCTGAGAAACTGCTTGGTGATGTGTGCATTCCACTCAGGTAGTTATACCTTTCTCCTCATAAGGGACTGTTTGAACACTGTTCCCATAAAACTGAAAAAGTGATATTCAGACCACATTGAAGACTAAGGCAAAAAGTGAAATGCCATGAAATAAAACCCAGAAAGAAGCATTCCCAGAAACTGCTCTTGGACATGTCCATTCATTTCACAGAGTTAAAGCTTACTCTACATTTTCCAGTTTGGAAAGGTTGTCTTTGAGGATTCTGTGAAAGGATATTAAGTGGCAATCAGAGGCCTGTGGTGAGCAAGGAAATGTCTTCTGTTGAAAATTGGAGAGAAGTTTTCTGAGCAACTCTTTTGTGATGTTTGTATTCATCTCATAGAGTTAAATCATTCTGTGGATTGAGCAGTTTGAAATCACTGTTTCCAGCCACATGCGGTGGCTCAAGCCTGTAATCCCAGCACTTTGGGAGGCTGAGACAGGTGGATCATGAGGTCAGGAGATCAAGACTATCCTAGCTAACACAGTGAAGCCCTGTCTCTACTAAAAAATACAAAAAACTAGCCAGGCGAGGTGGCTGGCGCCTGTAGTCCCAGCTACCTGGGAGGCTGAGGCAGGAGAATGGCGTAAATACAAGAGGCGGAGCTTGCAGTGAGCTGAGATCCATCTACTGTGCTCCAGCCTGGGTGACAGAGCGAGACTCCGTCTCAAAAAAAAAAAAAAAAAAAAAAAAAAAAAATCACTGTTTCCATGGTATCTGAGAAAGGACATTTGGGAACGCTCTTTAGAATATATTGAAAAAGAAATAACCTCAGATAGAAACCAGAGGGAAGCTGTCTGTGAAACTGCTCTGTATCGTGTGAATTTCGCTCGCACAGTTAAGCTTCTCTTTTCATTGAGCAGTATTCTAACACTGTTTTTCTGTAGTCTGTGAAGGGATATTCTTGAGCGTTTTGACGCTTACTGCAGAAAAGGAAATATCTTGAGATAAAAACTGGAGAGAAGCTTTCTGAGAAACTGCTTTGTGATGTGTGCATTCCACTCAGGGAGTTATACCTCTTTTCTCATAAGGCAGTGTTTGAACACTGTTCCTGTAAAACCAAAAAGGTGATATTTCAGAGTGCATAGAAGACTATTTCGAAAAGTAAAATATCCTGAAATAAAACCCAGAGAGAAGTGTTCCAAGAAACTGTTCTCTGATATGTGCATTGATTTCACAGAGTTCAAGCTCACTCTATGTTGCCGAGTTTGGAAACTCTGTCTTTGAGTAATCTGTGAAGGGATATTAAGTGGCACCTGGAGGATTGTGGTGAGCAAGGAAACGTCTTCCCATGAAAAGTGGAGAGAAGCTTTCTGAGCAACTGCTTTGTGATGTGTGAATTCATCTCATAGTGTTAAACCATTCTTTGGATTGAGCAGTTTGAAATCACTGTTTTTGTGGAATCTGAGGAAGGACATTTGGGAACGCTCTTTAAAATATGGAGAAAGAAATATCCTTAGGTAAAATCCAGAAGGAACCTTTCTGTGAATCTGCTCTGTGTCTTCTTAATTTCTCTCACTCAGTTAGACTCTTTTCATTGAGCAGTTTTCTAACCCTGTTTATGTTTAGCATGTGAAGGGATATTTGGGAGTGCTTTGAGGCTTATGGTGGAAAAGGAAATATGTTCAGACCAAAACTGGAGAGAAGCTTTCTGAGGAACTGCTTAGTGACGTGTGCATTCCACTCACAGTGTTATACCTCTCTTCTCATACAGCATCGGGGAAACCCTTTTGTAGAAAAAGGTACCAAGTGATATTTGGGAGCATGTAGATGCCTATGGTGAAACGGCAAATAGCCTCAGCCAAAAACTGGAAACTAGCTTTCTATAAAACTGCTCTGTGATATGTGTATTCATCTCACACAGATAAAACTTTCTTTACATTACGCAGCTTGGAAACTCTGTCATGGATGGATCCACGAAGGGACATTCGGGAGCACATTCAGGACTATGGTGAAAAAGGAAATATCTTCAGAGAAAAACTGGACAGAATCTTTCTGAGAAACTGCTTTGTGATGTGTGCATTCCACTCAGGGAGTTATACCTCTTTTCTCATAAGGCAGTGCTTGAACCCCGGTCCTGTAAAACG